TATATATGTGTGTGTGTGTGTGTGTGTGTGTGTGTGTGTGTGTGTGTAATTTATATTTCAAATTTGATCACTGCTCATCTCACTAGGAAGTAATTCTTCATATATATAATATTCCTGTTTTATACATACATACATTCATACATACATACATATGAAACAACATATGTATGTTAATTAATCAAGTGGACAACTTAAGTTACAGTTTTAGCTTTGAATAGTGTTCTCTGCTTTACAAATTCAAATCTTGGAAAAGTGGATAATAAATACTCCAACAATTATGTGAATGCAGATGGATGGGGCAATGATGCAGTGCAGGTGTGACAAGCCACACACAAGGATACAGCTGTGATTTTATTTTTCTGTTTCTTATGAGAGTGGGCTTGCTTTATTTTTTAAGTGTGTTAAACCTCTGTTAGATTTACACTGCTGTTTTTGTTTCTTTCCCACCTCAAAATGTCAGGAAACTGACTACTTAAATCCATTATAAAAAACTGGGTGGAAGGTAGAGGAGAACAGACTATTTTGATTTGTAGGTGTAGAAAAATGTACTGGCCTTGAGAAGGAAGTAGGAGAGGTAAAAGTAAAGAGGTAAAGGTCAATCCTGAGAAAGTAGAAAGCATGAGAAAGATACTTAGGATAATCCTGCTTTGACTTCATTGTCCTTAAAAAGAGGGGAGAAAGCTATTGGATGGGCTTTCAAGGTTGATGTCAGCCTTTTGAATGAGGCCAGGTCAAGAAACAGACAACAGGGATTCTTGAGGCTGACAATAAGAATGGGTTATCTTGCACATTTCTGTACCCCCCCCATCCCCCAAATTTTTTCAGTGACCAACAGAAGTATATCTGTACTAAATTACTTGTATTACTTTGGGAAAAAGAAATCTATTCTACCACTTATGTAACAGCCATACTGGTGTAATGAATATTGTGAGTGCTGTTCAGAAGTACATGAACTCCATGGGAATGGAGCCATCAGACAGAAGAAAGTGAAGTGTGTCTAAAAAAGACTAACCAAGATGGGATTTAAGCAACTATATCTATATTCCTCAGCTGGGTTATCCTTTCAACCAACAGATATTCTTTCATAAGAACAACATACATATTTTTTACCACACAATGCTTGGTTGTCCCTTTCAAAGAATCAGACTGTAAATCAATGGAAACTCAGCTCTTCCCCCACGCTCTAACTCTTTCAAACTGATCCTCCAATAATATAGTCTGGCTCTCCAGAAATCAAACGTAGTAATGATGTTTATAATTATAAAATAGACCATCTAGAGAAAACGTAAGAAAAAAGTAGCTTTTTGCACCTTAATTCCTTCATTTATTCCAGCACAAATGTCTGATTCTCCGCTGGCTATAGTAGGCAAAAACTTTGACAGGCCTTGGCGCACTTTATCATTGACAATCTGTTGTAAATAAACCTTAATTTGTGCACTGCTTTGAAATGTTGTAATTCCAACCCAGGAGCCAGTTTCAATATACTGTAGAAGGAACAAAGTTGCAGCCTGCTTCAGGCGATTAATACGATTATGCTGCATATGAAGAAAAAAGAGTGGGGAGGAATGATAGCATTCTTAGCTCTTAAGCTGTCTGAACAACCAACTTATTGGCAAAGGTAAACTTGGTCTGGGTAAAATAGCAAGCCCATTCATGTTCACTAGATTAGCCACATATATCTCATTAAAATGCAAGCAAATCCTCCTTTCCATTTAACTGTTACCTAGGATCACCAGACATCCAGCAAAAGGAGAACATGTCCTCCTTTTTGTCCTCGTGTCCTCCATCCCGCAGGCATAGCCTTAAAATCAAATATTGTCTGGCCTTTAAAGTGTCTTTTTTGGGGAGGGGGGAAACTACTGTTTTCACAACAGTAATCACTGAAACTTTCGTGTATTGTGAACTTGTAAATTGTCTGCTTCTTTCTATCCCTCATCTGTCGACAGGCTCGACAGCCTAGATTAACATTATTTTAATTTATTTCCTGATTCCAGCAATCGGCTTCATTCCAGCCCCTTCAAATCTATGATCATTGTAGTCTGTAGATTACATGACTCATCATACATTTCTGTGGTGAAACTTGAAAAGAGCATTGTTGTCAATTTTATATTATCGCTAGCATATGCTCTCGAAAATAAAGATTTGTTGGAAAAATATTGCGATTGAAAAACCAGTCTTTCTGATGCTTGAAAAAATAATTTCATATACATGTAGGCCTAAGTACTTTTTTTTTTTGGCAGTATTTTGCTGTAACTTTTGTCATAGATGCCAAGAAAGTTAAACAGTCCTCTTTTCCGATTGTCACTGTCCTCCTTTGCCTGTTCAGATATCTGGTAACCCTACTGTTACCTTTTAAACTTATTCAAGAGTTACTGCATGTTAGTCTTCTGCAATTAAAAATCAGTCTTGTGGCACATTTTCTACTTCTCTGCGGTATGTAACCTTCTCCAATACAGTACCTCCAGAGGTAGTGAACTGCAACTCTCTCCATTTTCAGCCAGGATCAACTGTTGTTTCCGAATGTTGGGAGTTGTAATATATACAATACCTCCATAGGGGACCAGTATGGGAAAGAAACAGTGTATATTTGGCTTTTATCTAGAACAATGTTTCTTAAAAGTTTTGCTCTCAGGACCCCTTTTAATTTTTTAAAAAATTATGGAGACCCCAAAAGAGCTTTTGTTTGTATGGGTTATATTTATCAATATTTACCACATTAAAAATTAAAACTGATGCATTCCTAGAATATTTAAAAGTTTTGCTCTCAGGACCCCTTTTAATTTTTTAAAAAATTATGGAGACCCCAAAAGAGCTTTTGTTTGTATGGGTTATATTTATCAATATTTACCACATTAAAAATTAAAACTGATGCATTCCTAGAATATTTATTTATTGAATCATGTAAAAATAACAATATTAAACCCATTAGATATTATCACAAAATACTTTTCATGAAAAATATATTTTTAACAAATAAAAGAATAAGAAGAATGTCATTATTTTAAATTTTTGCAAGTATCTTCAATATCTGGCAAATAATTTTGATTTGGAGGATCCCTGAGAGGGTCTTGGGGGACTCCCACTGATCTGGAGTAACAATCATACTGTGGATGTTTAAAATAAACATTGCACCTCTATTTTGACCTGTCAATTAACAACTGAAAGAGTCTTTAACAATTAGGAAGAGTATGTAAAACTAGATCAACATATTCTAAGATTTTTTCATCCTGCCTCAGCCCTAAGGCCTGGTAAATGAGTCTGGACAACTGAAGAAGGAGAAACCTGTCATGTAATCTCATGTTCCTTAAGCCTATTCAAATTAGTTTCTGAAGTACAATATGCACAGGCCATTCCAGGAAACAAACACAGCATCTGAACCCTAAATCAGTAACACACATTCCCCAAATGTAGAACTTGAAAGCCCACCCCAAAACATTTCCTAGAAATGTCAGCTAGTCTATAAAAGTGTTTCAAAGACCTATGTGAGATTTTAATCCCAGCTAAATGGACCACTTTCTTTTCCCTCTAAACAGTTGGCCTGAATAAACATATGTCTTTTGGGTGCTCAAGTTGGGAGGTTCAATTCAGTCAATCAATACTAGATGTTATAAGTTGCTTCTGTTCTGTATGAAATCTTATTACAATGTAATAAACATCCATAAATAAGTGAACAAAATTGTACATTACGGTAGCACTGCAAACACTGAACAGTTTTATTTCTCAGATGTAACACTAGAACTCCTGACAAAACATCATTTTGGTACTATCCAGTTTTGTATGTAAAAATAAATGCATAAATACATAAAAATCTAACAGCAAACTTACCTCATTCATAGTTTCAGAAACATCAAGCACTAAACCCAAAACTCGGTCCTGTGTTTGCATCACAGAAATTGTGGGGTCAGGTGGAGGAGAAGTGATTGGTAATGATCCCATAAAGTCCGGAGAATTCATAATTACTTCCCAAGTACTCCTGCAGTTGCAGATTTTGTTCTGCATATTTGTTGCTTTGATATTATGATTACTCTTGTCACAGAATTGGGTAACCTTTAAAAAAAGTTATAAAGGAACAAATGAAGGATCAAAACGCACGTAGTCCTCGTGCAGCAACCACAGTTGGGATCAGCAACGTGGTCACTAAGTGACACGGTTGCTAAGTGGAAAACCACGTGACTGTGCTTACAATTTTACTTCAGCTTTCCTTTTCCCCCTCTCTCTTGCCCTTTGGAATGCTTACCCTGGCCCTGGGTTAATTAGCAAGAAAGGGAATTAATGTTTGTATTTACATTCATTGGAGAGGAAGGGATTACAAGAGACTAAGCAGGCACACAATGGGAATACACATCAAAAAGTATGTGCTAGCGCCAGCTGTTTGCCTAGCATGCTCCCAGCTCAAGTGGGAGCTGCTTAGGAAGCAAACAAAAGCCAAAGCTGTGAAACTGATTAAAGTCTCATCAGTTACAGGCAGCAGCTGCCAGCCAGCTAATTAAGGTCACAGAGCTGAACTTGTTAACTTGCAGTTAGCATCTTTTGGGGTTAACTTGCTGTAGAGAAAAGCAGCTCAGGAAGAGATTGCTTCTTTAGGCAATCTCTATGAGGGGGAGGGAGAAAAAAAATGGGCCAGGCACAGGACAATGCGTGCTAACTGACTGTAATGGCAAAACGTGACTGAGAGAGAGGGAAAGATGCTGCGGAGGTCATAAATGCAGGCATTGGTCACAAAGTTACTTTTTCATCACCATTATAATTTTGAACAGTCACTGCCCAAGGTAGTCACTAAGTGAAGATTATCTGTAAATCCAAGGGATAGGTACTAGGCATACTAACAAAAGGTAGGCTTTGCAGGTACATTATAGATGATGAAATATTTTGGTTTTTATCTGGCACAAATTGGCATCCAGGATTATACAGCTGAGTCTTCCTTTGGAACCAGCATTTTCTAAATTTTCTTCTTCTAGTTGGAAACACATATCGACCAGAAATATCAGCTGAACATCTGAACAGTAAACCAGAAATGAATAGAGTTAGCAAGTCAAAAAATCAACAAAGAAGAATACACTGGCATGTATGAGTAAAACCTCTTTCCTGGTGACTTCATGGACATATCCATGTATTTGTCTTGGGAGCAGTATTGGAGAGTTTGCCATTGTTTTCTCCCAATATATATTTTAACTCCTAAGACAATACTTCCCACATATTTCCTGGTCGTCTCCCATCCAAGTACTAAGTCTGACCCTCCTTAACTTCATGAGATCAACCAAGCTTGGCTGGTGGATGCCATCTAGCCAGGCTTTGAGAAAAAGCAGATTTTATGGGAAAGTACTCAAAACCCCTTATTTCATCATTTTATTTATTTATTTATTTATTTATTTATTTTATTCATCATATTTATATAGCCACCCATCTCATAAAATGTGACTCTGGGTGGCACATGATAAAAAATTAAAAAACAATAATATAAAAAAAATATCTTGTTTTATTGTAAACTGCCCAGAGTCACTTCCTTGTGAGATCGGCGGTGTCTAAATTCAAAATATAAATAAATAAATAAATCTACCATTAAAAAATTAATATTACAATTAAAAAAAGGCAAGGTAAGAGTGACAGATATTAACAACACTGGAGCCATTTCAACAGCTTACTGTTCCCTTGGAGCCCCCAAGCCTAATGACATAGCCAAGTCTTGAGGGACTTGCAAAAAGTTAGCAGGGATAGAGCCAGCCTGACCCTGGGGTGGGAGGGATGATGTTGCATAAGGTGGGCACCATGGTAGAAAAGGCCCATCTCCAGATTACCACCAGATGTAGTTCTTTAACAGATGGGACCTGCAACATGACTCTTCTGCCAGATCTGATGGGATGGGCAGATGTAATCGGGAAGAGGCGGTCCCTCAAATAACCCAACCCCATGCCATGAAGAGCTTTAAAGATCAAAAACAGCACCTTGAATTGAACCCAGAAGCAAACTGGCAACCAATGCAGCTTGCGGAGCAGAGGTGTAACCTGTGTCATTCTAGGGGCATACATAAGTGTCCGTGCCACTGCATTCTGCACCAGCTGAAGCTTCTAGATACTCTTAAAGGGCAGCCCCATGTACAGTACATTACAATAGTCCATCTGGGAAGTAACCAGGGCATGAGTGACTGTGAGCAGAGCCTCCTGATCTAGGAATGGGTGCAACTGGTGCACAACACAAAGCTGAATGAAGGCCCTCTTAGCCATGACTGCCACCTGCTCTTTGAGCAGGAGTTGCAAGTCTAGAAGAACCTGCAAGTTGCGCACCAGATCCGTTTGGGGCAGTGTAACCCCATCCAGAACCAAAGATGGCATAGTCCCAGAAATAGAGGGCCCAAAAACCCAAGCCACTCAGTCTTGCCAGGGTTCAGCAAAGCCTGTTGTTCCCCATCCAGATCCCTACAGCTTCCAGGCACTGGGATAAGACATCAACAGCATTGCTTAATTCTCCAGGGGCAGAGATGTATAATTGGATATCATCATGTATGAAAACTATTTCATGTTTCACAAACAAAATCAATTTAACACTTCCTCTAAGGAAGTGAGGGTAGCATACTTGTCCTTTCCCCTTCTAATTTTTAATCCTCACAAAAATTCTTCAGATGTGCTACACTGACAGTGAGCTGTGCATTTTAATCAGCATTTCTTTATTCCTACTGCTGTGCTCTAGCTCAGCTGAGGACAAGGGAGGTACCTTGTTGCTTCAATCTTCTTTTTTCCATCAGTATAGAAAAGTGCATCCCTATTATATTCATCAAAGACTCCCCATCTCAGATGAGCCCATTCATGGACAAAGACTCGGCCTGTGGTAACACAACAATGATTGAAATTTACAGTATTTTCCTAGCAAGCAGTTGGTTATTGTTGTTTTTCTTAAAAACTATTCTAAAATTAGCTTTCCTTAGCTGTATACCAAGCTGTTATAAGACATCATATTACAACACAGTATGGAAATAGCAATACACAATAGTGAAGCAGTTCATTTTCATGTCGGAGCATAGTTCTGCACAAGATACAGCAAACTGGATAAAGCTAAACAAGGAAGGCAAAAAGCAAAAAAAACCCTGAGCTTTTAAGAACTGAACGAAAGAGGGGATGCCACATGATGTAGCTAAACACTATTAATTCCTTGATCTGTCTGGCTTCTGAGGAAGAAATGGCCGATTGAACATGGCTCCAGTTTTTGTGGCGCCAACACCCATGGCAATTAGAGGAGCTGGCATAGGTTCAGCTCTTCAGAATCATCTCCAGATAAAGGAGATTGACAGGATCACCCACAGGTACTCCTTACAGAGAATCCCTGTGAAAAGATTGCAGTCTAGCAATCTCTAGCGGGTGAAGCGCTATGGTAGTCAAGGGAAAAACACTGAGCCCAAGCTGGGGTGCGGAGCCTTCAAAAGGACAGTAGATTTGTTTTACTTCTTCTTTTAATTAACATCATAAACTGCCTATTTGTAATTTATTTGGCAATTAAAAACCTCCTGAAAGACAAGTTTCTGTACACCAGGAGAATCTCCTACTATCCTGAGAGAAAGAAGATTAAAGTAAGTTTAAAGATCAAAAAGAAATATTTTAACATTTGGAAACAGAGAAAGGAAATTAAGAATGTTGATTGGGGACAGTTAAGAGGCTAAATGATTTTGAAACAA